TGCCGATGCAAATGTGCAGTGGCTAGATTAGGCCCAGTTCTCAGCCGTCCACCATCTGTCCGCTTGGGCCTTTCCGTAGCAGGCAAGATGGTGCGTCAAGAGAAGCGCATCGCCCGCAGATCCAGGGTCTAGGCCTAGGAAGGGCCGCCCAGGGTCCTCTCTTCCGACAGCGGCCAATGCCGGGTGCCCCAGGGTGAATGAACAGAACAGGGAATCAGAAAGTGACCCCTCCCCAGTTGCTCACTCCCGGCCCTACAGTCGGAGGCGATCTGTGGTTAATATCGGGCTCTGTGTGGCTCAGGTGAGCTAGTTGGGAGCTGCCCGAGGACACATCTAGGAGCTTGAAATGTTTCCTCCCTGCTGGGGAATGGTTGTGTAGCTGGCCAGGTAAAATGATGTGGGTTTTCGGCCTTCCTCGGATATTGGCCAGTCCTGGGGGCAGAGGCTTGGATGGGCTGCCATGCTCTTCCTGCGTGGTAAAGCTTACGGGTGTAATTTTTCCTTCTCTAATGCTCAGTTAAAGCTAGACCTGAGAACAGCCCCACAACCCACTGGAGTTCCAAATCCAGATCTCCATAGATTACCCTAACGCTTGCATGGCCAACCGATCCTGCTGGGCTTTTGGAAAATGTACAAAAGGATGGGGCCTAAATTAGCTCTTGCCACTTGAGAGAGAGAACTTGGAGTCCTTGTGGACAGTTCTCTGGAAACAGCCACTCCGTGGCCAGTGGCAGTCTAAACAGAAAACAGGATGTTAGGAATTATTAAAAAGGGATAGAGAATAAGACTGAGACGATCTTATTGCCTCTGTATAAAACCATGGGCTGCCCACATCTGGAATGCTGCATACAGATGCGGTAGCCTCATCTCAAAAAAGATCCCTTGGCATTGGAAAAAGTTTAGAAAAGGGCAAGATAAATTATTAGGGGTTTGGAACGGCTGCCATATGAAGAGAGATTAAAGAGACTGGGACTTTTCAGCTTAGAAAGAGGAGTCTAAGGGGGGGTTAGGATAGAGGTCTATACAATCATGACTAGTGTGGGGAAAGTGAATAAGGAAAAGTTATTTACTTGTTCCCATAGCACAAGAACTAGGGGTCACCCAATGAAATGAACAGGCAGCAGGTTTAAAACAAACCAAAGGAAGTTTTTCTTCACGCAGCGCATGGTTGACCTGTGGAACTCCTCGCCAGAGGACATTGTGAATGCCAGGGTTCAAAAAAGAGCTAGATAAATTGATGGAGGTTAGGTCCATCAATGGCTGTTAGCCAGGATGGGTGGGGACGGTGTCCCTGGCCTCTGGGAATGGGCGACAGGGGCGGGATTGCTTGATGATTCCCTGTTCTATTCCCTCCCTCTGGGGCACCTGGCATTGATCGCTGTGGGCAGACAGGACCCTGGGCTAGACGGACCTTTGGTCTCACCCATCCCCTAACATCTCCACCCATATCCAAGCAGGTTACTGCATCAAGAACATAAGAATGGCCATACTAGGTCAAGCAGGCGCCAGGAGAGAAAGGCCTTTCCGGGGGCAACATTTCAGTGCACGGTTATGTGACACCGGCTGTCTGTTCCGAAAACCAAAAACCACCCCAGAACTAAAATCCAGCTCAAAGACGGCACCGGCCCGGATTCCCCCAGAGTGCTCTGCGCTCTCATACAGAGGCCGTGTCCTGATATATATAATATATATATGAAATATACTGAAAAATACTGTAAGCTAATCAAATTTTTAAAAAGGGTTAAATTTACACAAAATATTTATTTTTTGCCATATTGCTTGATGTATATCGTATCTCCTCCATTATATACAGCTCCCTCTGCCATATTAGCTCTTGTGCATATAACAGTCGCGTGTAACAGACAACCGCGGTGTATTTCGGTTATCCTAGTGAGTGCAAGAGAGGGCAGCGTACGATTGCCCTTCGTGCAACGTGTCTGATCCCCCCCCAGTGTCCCCCACCCTCAACCCCACCCCCTTCCCCGGTAATTTGCTAGCGCCCGGAGCAAATGAGCATGTGAGGCGTGTGAGTTGCAGACGGTTGCCGAGTGACACGGGGGTTGGCGGCGGGCGCGGACGTGTGTGTGTGCGTGTGTGTGCGTGGGGACCGCAGCGGTATGGACGTGCGAAAGGTTCTTTACCGTGTGAGGATCCGATGTGTGTCAGGGAGGCGTTGGGAGACTGGTACAGGGATGGGGTGGGAACGGTCACTTGTTCCAACCCACCCCGTCGTCTAGGACGCTGAGATCTTTTTAGTTGAAGTTGTTTAAAAGAAATTCCCTCCTTCTACAAAATTCAAGCAAGAGGAACCCCTCAGTGTAACCTCCTCACCCTGTCAATAACCAATTAGACAAACACTGTGTTTATAGATATTTAAATATATAAAGGTATATTTTTTTGAAAGTCTCTATTTTCCAGACTTCCTTTTTCTCACAGCTAAAACTAATTTTATTATTTTTGTTTTGATCTGCTGTCCTGCCCCGGGGAATTGGTGCTTGAGTCGGAAATTCAGATTTCTCCCCAAACATCTAACCCCCGTTAAGGCATCCAGCAATCTCGTATAGAAAACAATCACAGCAGATACCTGATAACCACAGAGCACTTGCTTTTCAGCTGTGGCCAGCAGCGGCTCGGTCGCTAACACACTCACTGAAGATAGAACATTTAGACCTTGTCAGACTCTAACGCTAAAATCACCAGTGATGATATTTTTAACACAAAGCTAAGCATCCTGCAAGTGAAATAGGCAGGGGTTTTCCAGCTTAGAAGACCTTTATTTTTTTTTAAAAGTTGCAATTTATGAGTAACCTCTTTTTCTCTTGTCCCTGATTTCCCGAGCCAAACCATCAGTTTGCATAAACGAGAATAGTTTCGCTGGTATCTGTGAAGCTACTGCAGGCAAACCTGGCTTCACTGGCCAATGTTTATGTTTTCCTTTCCTAAAAGGACTAAGAAGATTCTTGGTGGTTTAAAAAGGCAGTCGCCATATTTGAGAGCTACGCTGATGCGTCTGTCTCATAGGCTATGTCTAGACTGCAAGCCTCTTTCGAAAGAGAGCGTCTAGACTGCACGGAGAAATTTCGAAAAAGCGGCTTGCTTTTTCGAAAGAAAGCATCCAGTGAGTCTGGATGCTCTCTTTCGAAGAAGCCCTATTTACATTGAAGAACGCCTTCTTTCGAAAGAGGAACTTTCGAAAGAAGGCGTTCTTCCTCGTAAATTGAGGTTTACCGCCATCGAAAGAAAAGCCGCGTTCTTTCGAATTAATTTCGAAAGAACGCGGCTTGAGTCTGGACGCAGGGGAAGTTTTTTCGGAAAAACCCCTGAGTCTGGACACAGCCTTAGGGATCACGCTGCTGTTTTTCAGCAGCGGATGTTATATCTCACGCAACACACCTGCACACCTACGCCGCGCACAGGGAACTGCATATATTCTTGCCAAAGATTTCCTTGGAAATGCACTTTTCCCAGCTGGTTTTGTTTTGCCAGATTTGTTGTATGTCCTCTACTCCCTCCTCCCCCAGAAGCTCTTTGCTGTCGATTTTGTTGTGTGTATTAGTAAATGCTGATTCCCGGAGCGGCCGGCTGATGTTAATTTCATGTAACTCTATAACCCGGTAGAGACGGGGATTCTTAAAATAGTTGACACAAGATATCCTGGTTTCTTTAGCCGCAGACTGAGTGAAAGACAACAACAGGTCAGTCGAGCTGCCTTCCCTTCTCAAGCCCCGTTTTTGTGAAATCACCACGGAGCCAAAGCAACATGTTGTAATTGCTTGTGTCCGTGGCGTGCCAAACAAACTGCTGTTCATGTCCCCTCCGTATCTTACCGCTCGCTACATTCCCTCCTCACAGCCCCCAGAAAGGGAAATTGAAATGAATTTGGGGTTTTGCTCTAAAACCCGGTACATAGAATGGGCGTCTGCCCGTTGACTTCCGAGCTTTGACTTCCAAATACAATGCATTGTCATCCTTCGGTCTGAAAGCAGCTTCGTGGGATTGGAGCCAAACTGCCTAGATCTGTATTTATCAATGGGGTAGCCAACCAATCCCCCCTCCCCAAGCATCTGACAACTTTAGCCCTACGTCCAGGGGGGTGTTATTGGCCTTTGTTACATTGATCAATACACCGGACGCGAGTAACCGGAGATCTAGGCTTGGGATCTCACCTGGCGCTCTGGTGAAGTTGACATCAAAACAGAATCTAGTCGAGCCAGCATCCTTTCCTGGAACCGAACCGGGTCTGAGTAGTTTTAGAAAACACAGAACCGTCTCTCCCATGTAGGAGTCCTCCTCCTGCCTTTGCATGCATGCCTCTTTCCTGGAATTGGCGCTGCCCACAGAAAAGCTCTTCTCCCTGCACTTTAGCGGGGCTGCCCAGAACCCATTGGCACAGCCCTTTCTTATGAGGGGCCCGGGGCCTGTTTTAATGAGGCTTGAGCAAAGTAACAGAACTTTTGGGAGCCAGGTTAGAGATTTTCCCTTCCCTGGGTAATGCCTTTCCACTCGGTTCCTTTCCTGCATCTGAATCTGGCAGTGCAAACAGGAACGACACACATACAGCAAGAGAAATCAATATAACGCAAGCCCCACCCCAATCCATATAGAGGGACCATATATGACACCCCCCTGTAGAAATCAGCTGCCCCAAACTACAAGTGAGAACAGCCAATTCAGAAATGTGGATCCTGGGAACTAGAGTGACTTACTTGACTTGCCTTATTTTTCCCATCTACAGTACAGACATAACATCTCCGATACCAGCTCATCTTGCTCTCTCTGAAA